AATAGAGTTTGCAAATTTGAAAGGGTAAAAAACATTATTTTCACTAACTTTTGGCAGAAATTTAACATTTGTTTTCATTATGAATGTAGGCAAAACACAACAGTAGTGTTGGCAGTACCTGTAACTATGTCAACAATAGTAAACATAGATATTTCCTGGGCACATTATAATTTCTGTGAAAATCTCAAAATGGTCATTATGCTACACTACTTCAAAATTAATGTAACTATTGAGCCCATCACTAGATGTTGTTACTCATACATTCATAAAGACATATATGTGTATATACATACATATATATTTATACATATATACATACATATATAAATATACATACATATATTTATATATGTATGTATATACACATAAACATATATAGTACTAAATCATAAGTTATCTTTTGATAGCTATATTTAATATAATTTATTGGGAAGTAAGTGTCCCAGTAATGTTTCATGGAAAATCTGCTAATCCAGTTCACACCTGCACAGATCATGCTTGAATTTGCATTCATGTTTTATTGGAAATATTAACAATTGGAATAAGTAAGGGGTCGGGGGAAGAAGCCATGCCCAGCATGATTCAAGCCCAGGAATTATATTATGAGAAACATCATTCCTCTAGCAGCAAATACTAATTAGCATAAAACGGTAGACAGCAACTATGATGTGATGAAAAAGATGATGTCCTTCAATTTATTCAGAACTAAAAGCATCTCCCACCTCCACTGCTTATCATCCTGATATTTTAGGTGGCTATTCAACTCTCTGATTCTCAGTTTTGATGTCTCTATCTTGAAGATAATACATACAGTGCAGAGTTGGAATGAGGAATAGGAAAAAAATGTGTTGGCCAGGCGTGGGGGTTCATGCCTATAACCCTAGCACTTTGGGAGGCTAAGGCGGGCAGATCACCTGACGCTGGGAGTTTGAGACCAGCCTGATCAAACATGGAGAAACCCCATCTCTACTAAAAGTACAAAATTAGCCAGCCATGGTGGTGCATGCCAGTAATCCCAGCTGCTCAGTAGGCTGAGGCAGGAGAATCGCTACCGGGAGGCAGAGGTTGCGGTGAGCCAAGATCACGCCATGCTATTGCAATCTAGCCTGGGCAACAAGAGTGAAACTCTGTCTCAAAGAAAAGAAAAAAAATGTGTTAAAGACTCTAACAGTGCCTGGTATGTAATAGAATCTCAAAAGTTGTGTTGTGGTTGGCATGGTGTTATCAAGGAAACCAAAGTCTTCACATTTATATGCCCAAGTCTACCTTATTGGGGTGGAAGATTTGGGTAGACCCCTCTACTTTCAGGACTGTTATATGAAATTTGAACAGCTCTGTTTTATTTTCCTCTAGGGGACGAGGACAGGAACAAGACAAATGGTACACGGCAGCTTTTAGTTAACTGTCATAAAGAACTGCCTAGCAATCAAGTTGTTCAATGATGGACTTTGATTGCGCCATAAAATAATGAGATGCTTGCCTGTGTGTGTTTAAACAAACACTAGATTTCCCTGTACTCTGAATGGGGTGGGGAAAGAGCTTGGCAGAATGGGAGGCTCCCCATGGGGTTCACAGGTTCCCGCCGACTGCAAGGCTCCAAGAGTCTCTATAGCCTCATCAATAAGACTAAACAGAAATAATGTATCAGGTTGTCAGATTCAGCAAATGTTGATTTTCCTCTGCTGCTGAGGACCATAGTCATCATTTAAATGACAAGATCATTAATTTGAGAATAGAATTTCCAGCCTCTGGTAAAATGAACCTAATATTGGACAGGGAACATTTAAATTTCTAATAGGTACAATGACAATCACAGCTACAGAATTCTAACATGAACTGAAGTTCAATTTTGTAATAATTAATGACTACATAAAATGACAGCAATGATAACAAAAAGGTACTGAGTATGCTGTCGTCAAATAAATGTTTAAATAGGCAACTGCTTTTTCTGGAAAGTTATGATTCTAAAGTTGGTTCCAAATAATACCAACAAGGTCTTTTTAGGACAAAGTTCATCTCCAAAACAGTCTAGTAGCAGGTTGAGAATCTGAACAGCGGCAAAGGAATCATAAACATTTTCTCGCCAAATGTACTTCCCAGATATAAGGACACTCAGTGTTTCAGCAAGCAAGGAGAGGCAGAGAGAACCAGGACAGCTGGAAAGCAATACACCAGTTCATACACTGTTTTCATGACTACTTAAATACACAAAATATTTATCATCTATTATATAGTTAACAGAAATAACTTTCTTTTTTCTTTTTTCTTCTTGTTTCTGTCGGTGTTCTCTCTCTCTCTCTCTCTTCACCCCCATCCCCCTCTGGGCATTTCCTCTCCCTTAAGGGGCCCCTCGAATTGCTTACAAACTCTGAAGTTTCCTCATGTTTCCACACTTTGAAGTGTCCCCTTCCCCCACTCTATCTTCATTCTACAAATCTATTCTTCAGAAATAGAAATAACTTTTTCCAAAAACAAGTACATCCTGATAGAACTATAGTTGATCAAGCTACTCACATTAGTAAATAAGCTAACCACAGTTTAAAGAAAAAAGAACAAATTCTCATAGTACTTATAGCTATTTGGATGCAAATAAATATTATTTATAATATTTTAATAATTTAATATTTTATTATTAAAATAGTAAACTATTATTTAATAGTTATCTACATGTAAAAAAAAACTACAAGAAAGAGAGTTCAGGCTGGGGACAGTGTTTCACGCCTGTAATTCCAATACTTTGAGAGGCTGCAGCGGGCAGATCACTTTGATCTCAGGAGTTCTATTCCAGCCTGGGCAACATAGCGAAACCCTGGCTCTACAAAAAATACAAAAATTAGCCAGGCATTGGTGGCTCGCACCTGTAGTCCCAACTACACTGGAGGTTGAGGCTGGAAAATTCCTTGACCCCAGAAAGGGGAAGTTGCAGTGAGCTGAGATTAGGCCACTGAACTTTAGCCTGGGCAATAGAGTGAGACCCGGTCTCAAAAACACAGAAAGAGAGAGACAGAGACAGAGACAGAGAAGGAAAGAATGAAAGCGAAGAAAGAGAGAGAGACAGAAAGAAAGAAGAAAAGGAAGAAAGGAAGGAAGGAAGGAAGGAAGGAAGGAAGGAAGGAAGGAAGGAAGGAAGGAAGGAAGGAAGGAAAAAGAAAGAGAAAAAGAAAGAGAGAGAAAGAAAAGGAAAAGAAAGAAAGAAAGAGAGAGAGAGAAAGAGAGAGAGAAAGAAGGAAAGAAAGAAGGAAAGAAAGAAAGAGGGAGGGAAAGGAAGGATGAAGGGAAGGAAGGAGAGAGGGAAGGAGGGAAGGAGGGAGGGAGGGAAGGAAAGAGAAAGGAAGAAAGAGAGAGAATGAGAGAGATCAGTAAACATATCAGTATCTAAATTAAAGTGTTTATACATTACAGTCTGGCATACTACACAGATTCATGTTATATATTTAATTTAGGCAATAATTATTTTAATCCTTTTTATAAAGACACTACAATGTATATTAACTTGTAACTTTGAAATTTAAATCTGCACATGAGTAAATGCTGTGATGTCACTGCAAATGTTTCAGGAAGAAAAGTCACTCTCGATACAACACAACCTTGGCAAGTTCACTTAGCACACTGAAAGTGCACCTGAAGGTGAATCTTCTATTCAGAAGTACAGTCCCAGGAACTTGACCCATGCATACATTCAGAGTGAAGTTTCTCTACAGAATGCTGTATAAACTCAGTCCCAATTTATAGAAATGCTATGAGAAATATAACTGCTAAAGGGACCAGCTCATTCTCTTTGTAGGAGGGAATCAGAAAGAGAGTTCAAAAGATGAAGAGAATGTCTAATGGGACAACCTGAGGTGTCTTATCAAGGTTGGGTTTATCATTGAGCCAGGCCAGGCCAATTTCTCAGACCAGGCACTCACTCTCCTGGAGAGTGCTAGAATGGACTCCACCGTGAACAGCCTTCTTCTGTTTCTTCATAACTGACCAATATTCTGGTCATTGTGTTTTTCTTTATAAGCACGTTCAAAATAGTCAAAATTGATGCTCTGGGTATAATTTTTTACTTTTAAGATGATTTTGAACTTTTTTCTCTGATCTACTAATCTGTTGACATCAGTGTTTTACTCTCAGGTGATGGGGTAGGGAGATTTCTCTTTTGAATAACAATATAAGAAATGCTTTTGCCTTTTGGTAATCTGAAATGTAACCATGGAAATTTTTGTATAAACATACCAAGAGTGATGCAATTAGAAGCTACTGCCCGTAGAGAGCCAGACACACTTCTGGTCCCACCATATGCCACTTACATGAGCATTGGTCAGATTGTTCAGTCTCTTATAGCCTCAATTTGATCATATATAAAGTGATAATAGCATCTACCTCCCAAGTCATGTATGAAGACTTAATTGGCTGCATGACATGAAGAATATGATACACTAAGGAGCTGTGTGGGACATTCCTCACTTGATTTATTTTCACTCATTGCTTATTTCTCTCCAAAAAATGAACCTTTGCATCATTTCCCATCGTGTCTCTAACAAGTCAAATAACTTTATGTGAGACTCATCATTTGCATGCCCACATCTTCTCTCCAATAACCTATGGTGATATCTCTCTGACGAGCATCAGCAAAGTCACCTTCAGGATTAACATCTCCTTGTACATCCATTATCCCCTCACAGCATTGCTTTCTCAATCTGTGCTATGTCTATTTGCACTCGAAGACACATTGCTCAGTTTCATTACTCCTTATGTGCCTCATCGCCTTAATCTTTTAACTTCTTGAGAGTAAAGATTTTGCTTTCTTGTTCTTTTAAACTGACCTGCTCAATCACCTAAACCCTCACCTCTACCCCTATCTAATGCAACAGTGGCATTAATTTCATGTTGACAGTCGGGCTAATGAGAAATTATTTTAGCACTACAGAAGGGGGAAGTCTACAGAGAAGCTGTTAGGTATATCAAAGCAAAGAATAAAGAAAGAAATCCAAGAAGGTCAGAAAACTACTTACCCTTCCTTTCTTCTAAATGGTAAATGATTTATTTGCTTCAATCTCTTCAGGGATACAGGTACCTTCCCTGTGGCTGCTTTCTACAAATAGTGACAGCAAAAAAGTCAGAAATGCAAGTCTCAAAGCAGAGATAACAGAAACTCTTAAAGAAATAAGCTACAATAAATCAATAAGTATTTAGAGTTACAAAGAAATTAAGGAGTAAATGCAAACATTTTTCTCAAGTGTGTCTTAAGTCGCCATCTAAAACATCTGTTGCAAAACACTATGTTAAAAAATAGAGGTCTACAGTGGTACATATAATTAAATACAGGTAGACCGAAATATAAATAGTTAAACATATCCACAACTTCTGAGTAAGTTCTCTGTTAACAGAAGTGAAAACAGATAATTTCAGAACGTATGAAAGGTAAAGTTCTGTACGCACTGATTCAAACCAGATAAAAAAAGAAGAAACACAAAGCTAAATAGGTAATCATTGTTTCTGTTTTTCTGTCCCATAAAAACCCTCAAAGAACTTTTTCCCTCCTACCATTTCCCAGAGGAGAGACATTTATTCCAGGAATGTGCTTCTAGAAGGAGGGAAAACTGCATTTTTGTTACAAGTGAATTACACCTAGGAATGAGTGCTTAAATTGTGGGGTGATTTGGAGGTGAATGAGTAAATAGGATTCAAATCAGAGCAAAATCAAATCGTAACACACAAATGGGAAAACAAATCCCATCCTGATGTGCGGTAGTCAGATTTTTACTAAACAATAAAAATGGGAAAATAGCTTCAGAATTTAAATCTCCTTTAAATGCAGGTCCATTAAAACTTTATAGTTCTAAGTGAATGCAATAACCTTAATATTGTGTAACCTATATAAGATGATTAATATAACTTGATGGATGGGAGTTTTCTCTTTAAAAATAGTGCAGAATGTTTACCAAAAATAGCTACTTCAGTTACACACTGAAATGGTTTTAAAATGTTTTATTATGATTTTTAAAAACTTTCTTGGGAATTACTTATTTAATTTTTTGCAATACTTTCTAAAAAGCACACTGGTAAACATTTCTTACTACATCAAAGTAGATTTATGTTGACGGTTTTAAACTTTTACAGGACTTCAGGAGAGTCTGATATAATTTTTGATACTTGGGAGTCACAAAACATAGATAGTAATTCTTTTTTTGTTTTTGTTTGTTTGTTTGTTTGAGACAGAGTGTCGCTCCTCACCCAGCTTGGAGTGCAATGGCGCGATCTCAGCTCACCGCAGCCTCTGCCTCCTGGGTTCAAGCAATTCTCCTGCCTCAGGCTCTGGAATTACAGGCGTGCACCACCACGCCTGTCTAATTTGGTATTTTTAGTAGAGATAGGGGTTCTCCATGTTGGTCAGGCTGGTCTCGAACTCCCAACCTCAGGTGATCCACCTGCCTCGGCCTCCCAAAGTGATGGGATTACGGGCATGTGCCACCAGGCCTGTAGGACAATAAATCTTTTATCTGAAAAAAGACCACAATATAGGCATACCTTGGAGATACTGCAGGTTCAATTCCAGACCACTTATAGCAAAGTGAAAATCACAATAAAGTGATACACAAACTTTTGTTTTCCCAGTACATATAAAAGTTATGACTACCCTATACTGTAGTCTGTTAACTCTGCAACATCATTATGTCTGAAGAAAAAACAGAGTTTATACCTTCTTTAAAAAATACTTTATTGATGGGTATAGGTGAGAGAGGATCAGAAAAGTACTGGACTTATAACTTGGGCGATGAAATAATCTGTACAACAAACCCCCATGACATGAGTTTATGTAACAAACCTTCACATGTACCCCTGACCCTAAAAGTTAGAAAAAAAACTTTATTGCTAAATAATATTACTAACAATTTTCTCAGCTTTTGGCAGGTTGTAATATTTTTGCCGGTAGGTCTTACCTTGTTGATGGCTGCTGACTGATCAGCGTGGTGGTTGCTAAAGGCTAGGGTGGCAATTCCTTCAAATACCACAAGAATGAAGTTTGCTGCATCAATTGAGTCTTCCTTTCATGAGAGATTTCTCTGTAGCATGCTACAATGTTTGATAGCATTTTAACCACAGGAGAACTTTCAAAATTGAAGGGAATCCTCTCAAAACCTTACGCTGCTTTATTCAATAAGTTTATGTAATATTCTAAATCCTTTGTTGTCATTTCAACAATGTTCACAGCATCTTTACCAAAAGTAGATTCCATCTCAAGAAGCTATTTTCTTTGTTCATTCGTAAGAAGCGACTCCTCATTCATTAAAGTGTGATGATGAGACTGTAGCAATTCAGTCACATCTTCAGTTCTAGCTTTCCACCATGTACACAGTTATTTCCACCATGTATGCAGTTATTTTCCTCCACTGTGTATTGAACCTCTCAAAGTCATCCAGGAGGGTTAGAATCAACTTCTTCTAAACTTCTGTTAATGTTGATATTTTGACCTACACCCATGAATCACAGATGTTTTTAATGGTATCTAGAAAGGCGAATCCTTCCCAGAAGGTTTTCAATTTACTTTGCTCAAATCCATCAGGGAAATCACTATCTATGGCAGCAATGGCCTTACAAAATATATTTCTTACTAAAACTTGAAAGTCAAAATTTCTCCTTGATCCAAGGCTGCAGAATGGGTGTTGTGGTAGCAGGCATGCAAACGACATTCATCTCCCTGTATGTCTCTATCAGAGCTCTTGGATGACTAGATGCGTTGTCAATATATTTTGAAAGAATATTTTGAAAGGAATCTTTTCTTCTGAGCAGTGGGTCTCAACAGTGAGCTTAAAATAGTCAATAAACCATAGTCAATAAACAGATGGGCCGTCTTCCAGGCTTTGTTCTTTTATTTATAGAGCACAGGCAGAGTAGATGAAGCATCACTATTAAGGGCCCTAGGATTTTCAGAATGGTAAGTGAACATTGGTTTAACTTAAAGTCATCAGTGCCATTAGCTCCTGAGAAAAGAGTCAGCCTGTTCTTTGAAGATTTGAAGCCAGGTATTGGCTTCTTGTCTTTATGAAAATCCTAGATAGCATCTTCTATTATATATAAATAAGGCTGTGTTGTCTTCATTCAAAAATCTGTCAGAGTAGCCACCTGTGTTAAGCTGTTCTTGCATTGCTATAAAGAAACACCTGAGACTGGGTAATTTATTAAGAAAAGAGATTTGATTGTTGTATGGTTCTGGCTGTGCAGAAAGTGTAATGCTGGCATCTGCTTAGATTCTGAAGAGGACTCAGGGAGATTTTACTCATAGCAGAAGGTGAAGCAGGAGTAGACACATCACGTTGCTTGCATGGGAGCAAGAGAAAGAATAGTAGGGAGTTATCAACCAGATCTCGTGAGAGCTCATTCAGTATTGTGAGGACAGCACCAAGCCATGAGGTATCCACCTCCATGACCCAAACGCTTGCCACCAGGCCCCACATCCAACATTGGCAGATTACATTTCAAGAGGAGATTTAGAGAGGACAACATCCAAACCGTATCATTACTTTCATCAGTTATCTTAGCCAGATTTTCTGGGTAACTTGTAGCTTTTACATCACCACTTGTGGCTTCACCTTAAACTTTTATGTTATGCAAATGGCTTCTTTTCTTAAACTTCTTGAACCAAATTCGACTAGCTTCAAACTTCTCTCGCAGCTTCCTCATGTCTCTTAACCTTCACAGAATTAAAGAGAGTTTGGGCCTTGTTGTGGATTAGGCTTTGGTTTAAAAGAATGTTGTGACTGGTTTAATCTTCTACCTCGACCGCTAAACCTTTCTCCATATCAGCAATAAGGCTGTTTCTCTTTCTTGTTATTCATGTGTTTATTGGAGTAGCAGTTTCAATTTCGTGAAGATTTTTTTTTCTTGCATTCACTATTTGGCTAACTCTTTGGTGCAAACAGACTAACTTGGCATGTCTCAGCTTTCAACATGCCTTCCTCATGAAGCTTTATAATTTCTAGCTTCTGATTTCAAGTGAGAGACTCGTGACTCTTCCTTTCACTTGACGACGGTAGAGGCCATTGTCATGATATTACTTGGCCTAATTTCAATACTGTTGTGTCTCAGCAAATACGGAAGCTTAAGAAGAGGGAGAGAAACAGGAATAACTAGTCAGTGACGCAGTCAGAACACACACATTTGTTAATGAAGTTCACCATTTCATATGAGTATCGTTTGTAGTGCCCCAAAACAATTACAATAGAAGCATCAAAGCCCACCATACTAGATATATCAATAATGAAAATGTTTGAAATACTGAGAGAATTACCAAAATGTGACACAGAGACACAAACTGAGCACAAGTTTTTGAATGACACAAATAGACGTTCTCAACTCAAGTTTACCAAAAACCTTCAATTTGTAAAAAAAAAAAAAAAAAAAAAAAAAAAAAAACCACGTCTCCAAAGAACAAAAAAATGAAGTACGTTCATATTCATCAATTATGAGAAATTTAAAGTAAAATTAATAAAGAAAAATCTGCAACACAAAAAAGTAAGTACATGTAATTTATTTATCTAGAGGGAGCCTTTAGACTTGAAAAATGCATATCACTAAGTGTTCACAGCTCTTCAAAAAAACAAATTCCAGTCAAAATTTAAAAATGAACAGATGGATAGAAAAGAATGGCAGCAGGCTACTAGAATTTCAGAAACAGGTTTGTAGGGATAAAGTAGGTCAGGGAGATCATTGCCTTGGGGTTACTCCAAGATTAACATATAGGTACATTTGCAATAAATGAGGAAATTTTGATCAGAAGTTATTGGAAAAAGTAATCTATGCCAAAGTGAGTGTGTGTGTGTGTGTGTGTGTGTGTGTGTGTGTGTGTGTGTGATTTATATGTTTAAATAACAGGAGACATCTATTTTGAATCCAGTTGAATTCTAATTCTTTTCTCTAGGAAAGAGATACAAGATATAAAATATGAATGGAGCTAGTTTGTTTTTTTGTTTTGTTTCATTTTTTTGAGACAGGGTCTTACTCTTTTACCCAGGCCAGAGTGCAGTGGTATGACCATGGCTCACTGCAGCCTCAACCTTCAAGGCTCAGGTGGTCCTCCTACCTCAGCCTCCC